GGTATATAATTTTAAAAAATTACTAAACACTTAGGTTTAGTATATCTTTTATAAGTTGGGTTTTTAATTACTTTCAAAAAGATGAATGTATTGAAAAGCTTCTATCACTTTCAGAACTATGTTCATCCGAGATGTTAGACATTATGACAATGTAAAGGGCTATGAACCAACTTGCAATTTGTGTATTGAAATATTATTTTTGATAGATTAAAGAAATATAATATTTTCAAAGTATCTTTATTGAAAAATATTTTTAAAAAAAATTTAGAGATATTTAATGTTAAAAATTACTAAACACTTAGATTTAGCATATCTTTTATAAGTTGGGTTAGGTTCTTAATCACTTTCAAAAATATGGATATACAGTCAAACCTCCATAAGTGCACTGCATACAGACCAGTTTCAATCATGTATTTAGAGAGGTTTGCATTTAGAAAAAGCCAATCAAATTGCAGCTTTTAATGTTTGATCTGCAGGCTTGTGTAACACAACTTGAATACTGAATTCTGATTGGCTGTATGCATTTAGGGAGGTTAGTATGATATAGAGAATCTTTCGAGTGAACGTGCATTTGCAGAATATAGAACGTGTATTTAGCACTAATGATTTCTTACAGCCAGGCCAGGAATGTGCATTTAGAGAGGTATTGCATTTATGGAGGTTGTATTTATAGAGGTTTGACTGTATTGAAAAGTTTCTGTTACTTTCAGTACTATGTTCACCCAAGATGGAACTCTTGTTAGACATTATGACAATGTAAAGGGCTATGAACCAACTTGCAATTTGTATATTTAAATAAAAGTAATATTTATTTATATACTTTATGGACTTCCAATTAATGTTTCAAACAGTGTAATCTGATATTTTTTTCAGAGTAGTAAAATAAACACGGGCAATGTTTATTATAAGTTTAATTATATTTTTTAGATTTCTTGTTAAGATTTAACTAACATATTAAATATAAGTTTAATAATGTTGACATTATTATTACAACAGTCTGTAGAACAGTCATTATGAGGGTTCATACTGTACCACACATATTTGTATCACAGATCATAAAGTATTACTTCGAACTTTAACGCTAATGGTTTCACTTATACCTTCTAGATCAAAAGTTCATGAATCGAATATTCTATGATCCAGAGATTTTTATGCCATTATATCTCTTTTAAACCAAATGGCATAAAAATCATTCAATTTCAAATACTATTTTTTTATATTAAAAAAAAAAAAAAAAAAAAATTTAAAGTTATGCTATTTTGCCACTTTAGTTTTTTTTCTTTATTGTTATTGTGAAAAACAAATTTAATTACAAATACTTTATTTGATAAATCAATTGAAAAAAGCCAATCATATAATTATTCAAAGGCATAATGTTTTACCGATTTGTGCAATTTGGTCAATTTTCTTTAAAAATCAGGTTTTAAATTGAAATAGCATTATGCCGAAATTATAAACTTAATCAAATTAGCCGAAAAATCATTTGGCCAATTTTTATCAGGTGTTTTAGAAATTATAAAAATAGCTATATCATTATTTCTCTATAAAAATGACGAATGATTTAGACAATCTTTAATTCTTAAATATACTTTAATAATTTTGGATACTACAGTATCTTTAAAGTAAATTTGATTAGTAGTACTAAAATTTTTTAATATTTAAATAAATATAAACATATAAAATTTTTTACTTTGATTTTTTTGGTTATAATAATTTTTCTTGTACACAATTCTTCAAAGTGTAGTAGGTTGGTGGCACATAAGCTACAAAGTCCTAACATACCTATCATGTATAAATTTTAATTAATATAAATTAATATAGATGCAACAATAATAAGAACTTTTTATTAAAAAAAAGCTTATATTATTTTTAAGTGATAAAAAAATAAATGGGTAAAAAGGTTAAGTAAAAAAGAAATAAACTGACTGATTGAACATTGTTATAGAAATGCGTACAATAATATAAATTGGGTATTTGCTATAGTAGTATAGAATAAATATAGATAATTGATGTCATGATTAACATGTGATATAGATCCACATGGTTAGCAGCCAATTGGAGACAATTTTTATCTCATAGTATTTATTCCCTAGTGTTTATATACAACTGTATATTATATATTAGATTCAAAATTTTATTAAGCTACACTCCTATTTTCTAAACTAAAATAATTTTTTTATTAATACTAATATGATATTTATAAATATTTTTTACAATTGCTATGCAGAAATTTTTTTTTATAATACTGTATAACTTTAAAGTTAATTAAAGATTTTTCATAACTAACTTAAATATAATTAATTTTTAAAATAATATTAAAGAAATACAATAGCTCAAAAATATAGGTAAAATAACTTATTTTTTAGCTATTATGTAAATTTATATCTTTTAATAAGATTAAGTAGAGTATTTTACATTGTAGCTGCAAATATGCTATATAACTTGGGTCTTGAAAAATCACTTCAACTAATTAGAATAAAAAAAATATTTTTTCAAGCTCAATTTTCTTTAAAATATTTTAATATACAAATTTGTATGCTAAATCTAACAGTTTAAAGAATAATCATTAATAACTATAAATTATAGCTTTTTTATAGTTTGTAACTTATTTTGAAATATTTCACTCTATTAAATTTGCTAATATAGTATAAAATTTAAGGCAGACTACTTGGATGAATTTATGTACCCCACCTAGAATAGAAATGATTATTATTGTTATTATTTTTTTATTAACTTTAACAAAGCTAAGGTTAAGATTAGGGCCAAGAATAGTGTTAGAGTTAAGTAGGCTTTAAAAGCTATTTGTACCAAAATTTTGTAAAGAATTTTTTTTATTATAATGCAAAAAATAGTTTTATATACAAAATTTCAAGATAATGATAATTTTTTGAATAAACAACTGTTTTTTAAATTTTAATGTTACACACTGATCAGTCGTGTAGCATCTATATATCTAATGCTGATTGACTGTAAACCGGTTTTCAAACTGGTTTGGGGAGCACATAGATGCACGCCAGACTACTTAATTAGATAACCAAAAATTGTATATATATAGTAGAAAATTTATTAATTTACATATAGTGTTTATACACAGGATACTAATTTATTGATTTACAAACTTGTATAACATGCCAATTAAACCAATTTTTACAAAGAAAATTAAACTCTTGCTTATAGTTAAGTTTAAATTGGGGTAAGAGTAGTTTATACCAAAATTTCATAAGGAATTTTTTTGTTAAAAGCCAAAAGGTGGTTTCCTAATCAAAATTTTGAAATAATAGTTGGTTTTTTTATACCTGTGTATATACACTATGTGTACAAATAGAAATTCTCTATATAGTATATAGCTGGTTATAATCTAAAATAATATTTTTAATAAAAAAATATGTCTTAAGAAATTATCTTAAACCAAAAAATAAAAAATATTAATTTTATCCTTTTTCAACTTTTCTAATCTGAACCTCTCTAATTTAAACACTATTAAATTCTCTCTAATCTAAATCCAAAATTTTAAGATATTTGTAAATTTTATAGATTAGCATATAAGGCTATATAAAATTAATTTTTTGGTTCTTATAACATAAAATTTTAAAAATGACCTGACAACCTGGCTTTTAATTTTATTTTCAAAAAGATTTTATATGTAAAATTTTTTTACAAATATTTAAAAAAGTTCACCTAATTAAATAAAATATAGTAAAGACCTGTGGGTCGATAGCATAGTGGTTATGCTCCCAGGTTGCAAATCGGATGGTTGCCGGTTCAATTTCTCTCAATGGCAGATTAATGAAAATTCGAAAACGGAAGTAAAACACCGTGGGGTACAGAGAACCCGGGATATCTACGGATAGACGTATTCGGAAAATAGTTATTCTGAGAAGTTGTGGCTGTGAAGCGAGGTGTGTTAGAACCCCGATTTGGATTAACCGAAGTCACGAGACGTAATGTGAGGCCGAAGTCTGATAAAGATACTACAAGAACTCGTGGTGACACCGGATTGGCTGGTGAAATCTCAGTACAATAAAAAGGTGATCTGACATCTCCGGACATTGGTGCAGGCGGTCGAATCCAGGTACCCAATGTGGTACCAGAGGTCCAGACCAGGTCCCGTGCAAAAAGCACGCAGTAACCAGTCTTCGGGTTGGGTATATAACTGGAGGGGTCATATGGTCATGGCAGGACTTGCCGAAGAAAAAAAAAATAAAAATAAAAAAAATAAAATATAGTAAAAAAATTTTTCAAAATTTTGTTGAATTTGACCCGGCCGGGTTATGAGAACCAATTAATTAAGTTTGTGTGGCCTAATATCTCTTTAAGAACTAAATTTTATAACTTATTTTACATACAAAAATAAATAGTTTGAAATAGACAGAGTTGACTATATATAAATACTATATATATACTGTATATAATAAAAATTATAAAATATAACCTTACTTTAAAAAAAACCAATAATAATATACTGTAGTACATGCTAGTTAAAAACCAAAATTACATAACTTGTCTATTTTAAAATTTTTTATTTTGAATTTTAATGCCTTTGCAGTTTTCTGTATTCTGATTGGCTAAAATTTTTAATTTTTTGCAATTTAATCTTAAAAACTAATAGCAAGAGACCAAACATGTGACTTGTTACATTTTATTATTTTTTAAAGTATTATACAATATAAAAGCTGGTCTTTAAGTGCCATACACTGTATCTATAAGCAAATAAATTAAAAATTACTAATTTTTCTTTTTTATATTATTAAAAAAAAACAAATTATTTTGTTAAATATATACTGTATATTGTATTACTGTATATTTAGTTTTATTTTTAAATTACATCTGTTTTTGTATAACTATGAATAATGCTAGCTTAAAATTGGGTTTCACTACTTTATTTGTAAAAAAACACTTTTTGTCATCATTTTTTTTCTTCTGACCAAAAAGCAATATGCATTATCATATTAAAATAAAAAGATGGTAACCACGTTTTTCAATTACAAAAATGTTCAATTTTATAAACGGTCAACATTTCCCAAATCGTGGCATGCCTCTTTAACACGTTTAGCCATGGACTTTTCGGCTTCGCGAATAAATACACGAGGATCATAATATTTCTTATTAGGTTTATCTTCACCTTCGGGGTTTCCAACTTGGGATTGGAGATAATCCTTCTTACTTTCGTGATAATCCTTCAACCCTTCCCAGTAAGCCCATTGAGTATCGGTATCAACATTCATCTTGATAACACCGTAACTAACAGCTTCCTTAATCTCGTCTTTGACAGATCCGCTACCACCATGAAACACGAAAAAGACGGGTTTTTCACCAACCTCAAGTCCTAATTTTTTTGATTCTGCGCGCACATGCACCTGATGTTCTTTTAGCAAACTTGGAGTCAACCTTACATTTCCAGGTTTATAAACACCATGTACGTTTCCAAAGGCAGCAGCAATAGTGAACTTTTTATCAATCTTGATCAGTTCTCTGTGTACATCCCAAACGTCCTGAGGTTGAGTGTATAAAGAATTATTATGGACATCAGTGTTGTCAACACCATCTTCTTCACCACCAGTAATACCAATTTCCATTTCGAGATAAAGGTTGATCTTGGACATGCGTTCCAAGTATTTTTTACAGATGGCAATGTTTTCATCTTTTGGTAGCTCAGAAAGATCAAGCATATGAGAACTAAAGAGAGGTTCACCGTGTTGTTTAAAATATTCCTCGTCAGCTTCCAACATTCCATCAAACCATGGCAAGAGTTTTTTAGCACAATGATCAGAATGCAGCACGACAGGACTAGCAATTAAAATTAGATAAAATCAACAATTTTATCACAGGATGAGTGGATTTAATAATAATTAAAGAATTTAACTTACATTCCATAATCCTTTGCAACTGTCCTGATGTGATGTGCAGCAGAGATAGCACCAATAATACTGGCACGTTGACCATCATTACTCAAACCTTTACCCGCGTAGAAAGCGGATCCACCTTGAGAAATTTGGATAATGATTGGAGCTTTAACATCGCGAGCAGCTTCTAAAGTAGCATTAATAGTTGAAGAGGAAGTGCAATTCACCGCTGGAATAGCGAAACCATGATTTTTGGCATACTCGAATAATCTAAAAACGTTTTCACCAGTAATAACGCCAGCAGGAATTTGGAGTTCAGAAAAGATACCCATGATTTACGTAAATTAAAGGAAAAGGGAGAAAGGGGATGAAAATTCACACGCCCTAATTATAAAATAAATTTATAGTTTATGATGCGATCACTCATAGGTTTATTCTTTAATCACCAAGTTACACTAACGCAATCATTATCACATAACGTCAATATTAATATTGACCCGGCCTGGTTATGAGAATCAATCAATTTTATATTGCCTAACTATATATAGTACAATTTTACTAGATAGACGTAGTATAGATGGTCCGGGTGATTAGCCGATTTTCGAGTATTCCAATCACAATATATATTATTAGCCACTACTAAAATTTTTAAGAATATGTTCTTGAGCGACTTTTATTTTAATGTTTTTTTTTGTAAAAAAAATAAAAAATTCAGAAATGTTTACGAATCGGTTATCGGCAATTTTTTTTAATTGCTGAATTTTGACCCGAATTAATTTTGGATAGCGGGTTTATGATCAACAGTGATCGACCAATCAAATTGTGAAGTTTGACTACAAAGATCAGCACGACGAAGCAAAAAGGAAAGAAAAATACAAAAAATGGTAGTCTTAGAGTATTAATAAAAACGCGCCGGGGGAGGAAAGTTTTACCTATAATTCTTTAAATCTAACCTAAAATGGCCCTTTTCCTAGATTAATTAAATAAACCCTAATTTGGGAAGTTGTATCTGGTAGGACATTTCATTTGGTAACCATGACATCACAATGAGCCGTAGTGACACAAGATTAGATTTGATTAACGTTAATATCGACTTAATCTTTTACATGATTATTTATGATTTCGTGCAAAAATTATATACTTTTTTTATTTTGGTGATATTAAAGAATTTGTACGTATTAGAATAATAATATATACCAATAATAGAAAGCCTGGTATCAATACTACGTAGTACGTACCATTATATTATCTGTTATACGTACCGGTATAATTCTTAACGTTAATGCAATAAGTTCATATTTCCCATTACACTTTGCTTAAATGTGAAATTCGAATAATGATAAGTTTGTCAGGCATAAAGTATATATTAATTCTTTCGATTATTATGAATTTTGCAAGATAAATCCATGCGATTTAATGATTATATTAGCTATTCTGACAAATTGTTCTCCAATTATATTAATTGATCGCAAAAAAAAAAAAATTTTATTTCTTCCCGTCCATGTTTTTGCATTCTTAGATCATTAACCATTTGCTCCGCTTTTTCTGTTGAGGAAGTTCAGATGACTTGCATTTGCCTATATAAAACCTTGTTAATATTTTTTTTGTATTCCATTAAAGATTATTAAATCATACCCTGAACATTTTTAATATTATTCGCAATAGACATTCCGTAAAATCAACACAACACTCAACCCTCCAAGTTTCATCAATTTATTAAAGAATTATAGCTTGTATTAAATCACTTGAAAGTATAGAATATTCTTTTGTATTAAAAATTTTTATTCATTTCTTTTTCATCTCATTTTGAATTTGCTCCTGCTCATTATTACATTCTAAACGATCGGCAACTTGTACAATACTTGATTAAATAAATAGCATTAGTATGAAAAGAAAAGGTTATTAAAATTGGTAATTAAAAAAACATAATAGTAGTTGTCATCATTGTTACTATGTACAATTAAAGCAACATTTTAAATTTAAACTCGGATACGTAAACTTTTTTTAGGGGATACTAGGTTCATTATGGCACGAGAGTCAACTTTATGCGTGTCAGTGTTGATGTCTGATACGGTCAACTCTCTATTTCGAATAGTCCGTTCTTATATGTAAAATTAGTCAAAAAGTTCAGTTCTCAAAGAGGCATTATATTACTTACTAATCCGAACTTTATAATAAAATTTACAAATGTTCTAGTTTTACGTTCGGTTCTCACAGAATTTATTAAGGTTCGTATTAGAAAGGTTCGAAGAGAGAGGCGACTGTATATTGAATTTACGGAATTCATAATATGAATTTCCCTAGTAACTTCGATGATAATATCGAGATTACTATCATCTAAACTATTGTATGTGTCATATGGTATGTAATTAATTAAAAAAAAAAAAACGTTCTCGATGACTGGCGGTTGTAATTGTTATTATTATTTCCAAATGGAGTTAATGATCGAAATACTGTATATAAGCCAGGCATTATCTTATTTTGTAGACCTGTTTCGAATGTAACCTGAAACTTGAGAAATTCATGTTTTCAAGTTTAGTACGTAGTATATAACAAATTTATTTGTGTCCTTTGTTTTTTATGGGATAAAGAAGATTAAACATGTATCGATATAGATGATCAGCATGTATGGTTTCACTAGATCCTGTCTAACTTTACGTAAAATCTTTTTTTGGTTTATTCTTTTACAAATCAGATACTGTAATTTATTTCAAGTTAATTTATTACTTTCAACACATGGTAAGTATTTAGAGACCCTTTTCAAAGAACTTTGTACTTTTTTTTTTTTTCTTTGTTTTTAAAGGTATGATAACCTTTATTCTAAGGCTGCTCAAAGTTCACAAGGAATTACAACTTTGTTAGAAGCTGAAAAGGAGGCTGCGAAGATTGTTCAAAAAGCTAGAAATTGTAAGTTTTTATTTTTATGTAGATTCGCATTTAAAATCTTTTGGACTAGTTTTGATATTTAATAATAATATGAATAGATCGTGTTCAACGCTTGAAAGAGGCTAGAACAGAAGCTATAAAGGAAATCGAAGCTTTAAAGGCTCGAAAAAATGCTGAATTTCAAGCATTTGAAGCAGAACATGCTGGATCTTCTGATCAATCAGTTGCTTTAGTAGAAGCAGAAACTGAATCAAAACTTGTATCTATTAAAGAAGCTTTTGAAAATAAAAAATCAGGTGTAATGGAAAATTTGTTGTCTGCTGTAACTAACGTTCAACCTAAAATTCATAAAAATCTTAGAGCTGCTTAGATACGTTTAATTTCGCGAGTAGAATTTTTAAGTAAATATCATGTAATAAATAGGTTAAAATGGCTGTAGTAAATCATATACCTTCGTTTTTCTCGTCTTTTTCTAGTAAAACTATTTCATTATTAATAATCTTTATTAGCAAAGTATTTATATAATGATCGCAACAATATAATTAAACAAGCATTTAAAAATAATTCCGGTTGAATATGTATATTTAAATCTTTTGTTATCAACCACTTCTTTACTAATCCTTCGATAAAAGAAAAAAAAAAAAAAAAACTGTTATCAATCGTTACCTATGATTCTTCAATATAAAAAGCAAAGCAAAAAAAAAAAAAAAGGAAAAAAAAAATCCAATTTTGTGAAATTTCGAATAAATAAATTATATTTACAAGAATTATTATTATATTATTTTGATTACATGTTTTATACTATTTATTTGGTAAACTAACTTTTTACTTTTTAAAAAATTTTTTCCAAAAAAAAAAACAAAAAAATTATTAAAAAGTACAAAAATGTCTTTAAAAATTATTATTCTATGTGAACAGAAAAAAAAAAAAAAAAAAAAAAAGAATAAGTTAATTATATAGTTTGTATAGTAAGAAGTTTCTTAAAAATATGTAATTACCTTTAAGTATGCTCCTTGAACCACATTTTTGTCTTTTAATGTATCATTAAGATAGAATGCTATTTTAACTAGATATTTATGGTCATCAGAAATCCATGGTGAATTTCTAAACTTCAATGTTTCAAGCGGAGCTTTAGAATTTTTCAAAAAAGATTCGAGTGCACCTGCAGTAAACCACCAAGGCAATTCAATGTCCAGATGCCTTAAAGTGTTTGGGAGAGAAATACCAAGCTTTGGTAAAAAACTACTAACATCGTTCTTATCTGTATCGTTATTGTCTGATCCTGCATTCCATTGTTCAGCATTGAAAAGAGTTAAACTTTGCAACTTGACACAACGATGTAACAAATTAAGAAGTTGTAACATGTCATCAGTACTCCATGGTGCTGCAAACGTGGTAATATTTGGACAATTTATAATTATTGTATCTATAACAGATTTATAAGTTGGTGAAGGTGAAACTACATTCCCAATGTAAACTTCACGTAATTTTTCTTTGGCGCCTTTGATCAATCTCAAAAATACATCGTAATTACAATCACTCGAAGGAGAAAAGCTTAATTTTCTTAATCCAGGTAAGTCTGTTGGGACCCATGACCTAGCATTTGTAGGAAATACGCAACTATTTATCTCCAATGATTCAAGATTTTGAAAACAAATTGATAAAGCATTTAATGAAGCGTCTCCTTCAAAAGAAATGCCTGAGAATTCCGCATGCGATAATGCATTTTGACGACTAGCGAGCGCGGAAAGGAAAATCGGAAGACATCGACTTTCAGTTGACGTAGAACTAGGTTGTGCACCACTCAAACCAAGTAATAAATTATGAAAAGGTTGCGCTATACTAGAATTGGGAATGAGATGTGCATTATTTACCAATATAAAATGCTCTAAAGATTGTTGAACTTGAATGAACATAGCTATGCTATATGCGTCTGCTGGAATAGATGGGTAATTAATCAGATAAATGTCCAATTTTCGTAATCTCGTCGTATTCCGAGTCAGATATGTGAAAATCGACCAGTTTGGAAGTGGTGCAAAAAGGCGTAATTCCCGTAATCGTGAAAGCCATGTGTCCGCTCCATTTTGAAGAAATGATAAATGATCTTTCCAAATATCGGGATTCATATCAAGTGAGAGAGCGTCAAGTATTGGACTTTGTGACATAAAAAGATTGCGAAGTAAACAACTAATCTGAGTGGTGACCTTGCTTCCATTACGCTTCATTGTACATTGTACCCACATTGATACGCAGGTATACAAGCTTTCGATACTTAGGTGACGAAGATATTCCGGGTAGTTGAAAGCCGGCTGTCTCGTTGGTAATGGCACGTATACTTCACTTGCCGCGAGACAAACTTTATCCTCATTACTTAGGCAACAAAGATACGTTTCAATCAAAGCCGCTCGTTTCTCCTTTGGCAGATCTTTGGTTACTCGGAATGGGTGACGCCAAAGCATTCGCGTTGCATTATCGCACCATAAGCGACTGACAAAAACACAGGAATATAGTGAAGAAACATCCCCTTGAAGATGACATATTATTTCTCCTACGCAATCGGCTGGCAGGGCCATTACAATGTTTACGTAGTTTATTGGAAATCTTTGCGTTCTTAAGGTAAATATCAAACTGCAATGCACTTGTTCATAAAATGCCCGGTGTCACAGTTTTCAATCGGACCAATATTTCCCTTTTTAGAATCCAGCCACAAGCCACTCTTATGACTTTTTATTATCAGTCGATCGAGATGTCAATGATTTTCATAAATGACGAAAGGGAAATTCTGGTCAGAGATGTTTAGCTTATATATCTCTGGCCCGAAAACTATTTCCAATATACAACTTTAATTAGGGTAGAGCCATATAGGATTAGGAGAAGGGCAAGTTTTATAAGTAAAATCGGGCATTTTTAATTAGTGCAGTCGGGGATTATTCAAATTTGTAAAATAGTCTACAATTATGCTTCGAAATACGATTGGTGGTAACAATCTTTTTTAGAGAAAAATTCATCTATAATTCTATATTTTCAAGCACGTACTTTAAAGTTTAATTTGCTATGAGAATATTATTATAGCACTATAACTTTTATCAAAACAAAAATTACCTTTTTTTAATATTAGGGTAAGGGTAAGGATCAAAGGTTAGAGTTAAGTAGTTTTTATAGTAAAATTTAGCAAGGAATTTTTTTTGTTAAAGCTCAAAAGATACAAAGCTGATCTACATGTTACAGATCTTAAATTTTAATTGGTTAAAATGCCCTAGCACTACAGTACTATAGTGCTATAAATTAAAACCCTATTTGTATATTAATTAACAATGAGTTCATAATTTGTAGCCAAAGATCTGCTTTGTATTTTTATTTCTTTCCTGCTAAAGTATATAAAAGCATGTAAAAAAGAAAAGTGGTGAAATATATCTGCTTCTGTAGCAATAAAAAAGTTAACAGAATTGGCTAAATATTTTTTTGAATTAACTTCATTTCTTGATTCAACACAAAGTTATTCCATATATGGAGAGCATTATCTCTTAAACTATCAGCAGTTAGTGGCTATATTTGGCTGCTAAAATGTCAAAATTATTGTTTCTGATCTATTTTTATCAAAATTTAAATATTTTAAAAGAATTCACTTTTACTAAAATGCACCTATGGTGTTTTTATACTATAGGTCCCATTTCTCAAAAACATACTAAGTAAATGGGATTGGGTTCTCTAAGTAAAAATGTTCAGGACCCTCTAAAAACTAAGATCAGGCCCTATTGGGCCCTTATATTAGCTCTATAATATATTATATAAAAAAAATAATTCCTAATTTCCTAACCTTAACCCTAAATTTTATTAAAAAAAATTATATATAGGTGCTAAAACACCATGGTGCATTTTATAATAATTGAAAAAATTATATATATATGCATATATTTTTTTTTTTAACTTCGACGATTTTGTCATTAACTTTATTACTTATTAAGCGAACATTACATATATTTACATATACTTTTAACTTATCTAAGTAGTTGTTATGACTTCACCCGGCTACTCTATATGGTGCCCAGATGCAATCGTCTGCACCATCTCACATGTGAGATGAACATCCTCGGGTACCTCTATCAAGAAGCACCCTAAGTTCTGACCTAACTCAGAACCTTAATATATTTACTAATTTGTATATACCCCGCTATATATACTACTGTACAACATCTACCAGTTATAATCCACCCCTTAACACTTATCACATTACTTCTATTTTGTTTCTTGTATAACTTCCAAATTGGTGTCCTAGAAGTGGGTGTTTTTCGTGTTTCTAGTTTGGTGTCTTTCGAGATGTTACTTCAGTTCTTAATCCATATCTCAAGCCAGGTACTGCCGCCGTCCGAAGACCCGTATCTCAAGCCACCTGCTGCCACTATTAGGAGAGCTGTTTACATGGTTCCAGGTATTCACATCGTATACCACCAAATTAGACTACTGCTCCATTTATAGTACTCCCTATCAATATGGTGTTACAGAAGTCTAGATTCTTAGGACGGGAGTTAAGTACCTCATTTAATTATTGTCACAAGCCAGTAACCCGGGACCCATGCTTCTGTTATGTTTCGTCATGCTTCCATGACTCCTATATAGGTTATACGACATATTACTCACTGGCCGACTTTATTTTCGTACTACCGGAGCGCTTGCTTCTATGCTTCGGGATTTCTTTTAACCAGTTTTCTTTGTTTCCTTGTGCCAGAGGTGTTTCATATTTGGTAAAGCTATTCTCTTACCACAGCCCCTTACTATGTTCACCACTTCTGGATATATTGCATAC